ATCATGTAACCCTAGCCCCTCCCAAAGTCTGTCAGTTAACTCTTCGTCACTGTCCATTGGTGAAGACTGTTTTCTTGTAACTTGGAGGTCAGGTGTTGCCATGCCATGCCTCTTAGTAACAAGCTTGCCCTCCCCGTAAATGCCCCGACCATCAAGGCTATTACAAGGGGAGGGGAAAGAGGACTATGGAATGACATCTTACATTAACATTACTATAAATCTATATAATATTTATCTCTTAATTGTGAGAGCCAACTATTACATTACTTATCTATTACAGGCTTTGTATCCCCCAAGGCTTGGAGCTCTGGAATTTGTTTTGTCTTTCTGCCTAGGGAAAGGCCATGGAAAAGTACTGGGAAAACTTGCCACTAATACAATAGGCTACAGAGCTACAAATATATGTGTGAAGAATACAGAGAACATAGAAAAAAGGCAAAAGCCAAACAGCATAATGATGAGCTTTTTTTATAAAATGTAAACAGTTATGGAAAGAATTTGGGTTTTTTCCCTAAATAGGGAAGTGTAGATGAGAAATCTTAGACTTTTTAAAATGTAAGTTAAAAGTAGCCATACTGTCACCAAAAACCAGGGAATAAACTCTCCAACCAGTTTGTTAAGTAAGAAAGTTGGCAGTGCTTCATTCAGCGCTGAGGTACATGGGGGATCAATCCACCTATAATACATACCAAGTATAAAAACTTCTAACTATTTACACATTTTAGCAAACAAAAGAATTAGTGTTCCTTGGCTACAAGTTACATAGTTCTCCTACTAATTAGAATTCTGTCCTCTATTGGTTAATGATTTCTTGCTTCTCATGCAAATTGATCCACATTTTCAGTCTTTTTATGATCTTTTTCCCAGATAGGGAGAGTTTCAGTACAATTGCTGAATTGTTTTTGTTAGTTTCTTCCTTATCTCTGGTTTCTGCAAAATGTCCTTGTAGGCTATAAATTCTGCATTCCTGGTGTCCACTTCTCAGCAATGTATCTTTCCCCCAGGCTTTAACTTCCTCTCCCAAGCCTGAGACCACCCAAAGCATATCAAGTGCTAACTTTAATTGTTTTTCTAATACATGGACATCACTCAGAGCTTGCCCTTCAGCCACTATCTCTTTCACAGATTAAATCTCCCCTCTTGTTGATTAGGTTCCAACATTTTCCCCCACTACTGCATAGACTCTTTTTTAAAGAAATATAACTTGTTTGATAACAATACCAAGATTATTTAAAGATAAATCTCAAGTGGAGGATAAATATGTGTGTTTTGTATATTGGTGCTTTTAATATATTTCCTTTTCACAGGTTTTTCCTGTTTTAGAGCAATGAGATATTTAAACTATTTACAAGGTGATACTGCAAACCTGGGTCTGTTCAACAACTGTACTGCTTGATCTCATGTGGCTTGATTTCCCTTTTAATCTATTTTTTTGCAACTGGAGATTTATCAGCATGTATTACATGTAGCTGACTGAATTTAAAACCCCTTAAAACTAACATAGTAAAGATGGAAGCACTCACAGAAGGGCAAGTTTCTCATTACTTGGGTTTTGTACTGTCTTGGACTTGATTCCTGTCTTCTGAGAAAGTCTTATGGTTCCTGTGGAAGGTAGAAGAGTTCTTTCACATCTTCAAAGACACAATTTATTATTAATCTAAAAAAAATATATGGACAATAGTGCAATGTTCACAGCTGTAGGCTCTGATGTTGAAGGCAGTTGAGGAAGTTGATGAGCTGAAAGACTTTATTTTTACTTTCTCAGCAACTAGTAGACAAGACATCCCTCTGACCCTCTCAATCTTCCAGTTGTATTTTCACTGAATAAAGATTCTAGCATTCTCTGCAACCACTTAAAAGATTCACTTAGATGGCAGAGATGCAATTGTGAAATAAATGCTTCTATACATCTAAAGAGTTGTAGCTATCTTTGCTTTTCATGTTCTCAGGACTTCGCTGAAAGCAAATTTTTACAAATCTGACCATGTAATTTTCCTTCCCTGCCAGTATCCTTCTTTTAGTGTTGGCTATAGAGGTAACATGATCTGGGATTTAAAAGTGATAGTGTGATTCAATTCAATTTCTAACATCTCAAAACCTAACAGAGATAGAGATTACACAGTTGTGACAAGCCCAAAACCAAAATGTCAAGTTAACTGTTATGTTAGGGTCGCAGTTTGGAGACAGGAACACGACTGAACACACTGAGATCATGCAACAACAGCCAAGATTTATTGATGGATGCCTTCTTTTATAGGGGGTTCAAAATTCCCAGGCTTGAGCAACTGATTAGTCAAGGTTTCACCACCACCCAGGCTCTCTGGGTCGCTTCTTCACAGCTCACATGCAGAGGGTTGCAGGCGTTTTGCCAGACCTGCTGTGACGGTGGCTTGCTGCTGTCCGCTGTCTTGCGGCTGTGCCATGTGGTTGGTGGCGTGCGCTTGCTGCCACTGCTACATCACCATTCCTCCACGGCTGCCCGCACGCGCCCCCCTCCCACCTCCTCTGTCGCTGCTGCTTTGTTCTTGCAGAGAGCAGGCTGAGAGGGAGCACCCTGCTAGTAAGAGCCCCCCTCAGAGTCCTGACACA